CAAAGGTTCTCAGAACGTCGTCCCCGACGCTTCAAGCCGTCAAGATGAAGGTCCCCTCTCGACTGCAGTCGCTTCTCATCACGAGCAACTGTCCCGTCAAGAGGACGGCTTCTTGCTCGCCTTCACCGTCAGCGCCTTGCAGCCTTTGTCGGACCAGATTCAAGCCGCCTACGAGACGTGCGACTTCTGTCGTCCTCTTATCCAACGTCTCCGCGCCAAGTCTTCCGTAACTTCTTTTCATCTGGATGATGAGCTTCTGTTTTATACAGATTCGCTGCGCCGCATCCGCCTGTGCATTCCGCAAGCATTGCGTCGAGAAGTTCTCTTCCGCGCCCACGACCTTCAGTCCCACCTGATAGGATATGTTTACTGACTTCCTGTCTTTCTTAAGTAGGTCGCCGCAGTCACATGCGTACGATCCGTCGGAAACTGTCATCCAGCAGGAGGCTGTTGTACGTGACGATAGTGTTGACAGTGGTCGTACAGTGCCTTCATGGTTGGAGAGTAGGGATGAAAACGAAAGAGATGGTCCCGCCCTTCCCTTGAAAGCCAGTTTTCGTGACATCGTGGAGGAAAACGAGCACCTACGCCGGACATGTAGAGAGCTCAGGTCTGTGGAACAGAGCAACATGGATAAGATGCACAATCTCGTAAATGCACTCGCAGAATCCCAGAGAGAAGCTGATCGCAAACTCCAGGATCTTGTGAGGGCACTTGAGGAATCCCAGCGAGAGAACCGTAGGCTTGCCAAGGAGGCAGCGGAGATGCGTGTACTGCTTTGTGAGCGGGTTCGGGAACCCGAGGACAAGCCTCACAAGCTTAAGCATGCGGAGAATGACGGTGGTCAGATTTGCAAGCTGGATCCGAAGTCATTGTTGCAGTACAATGGTGAGCAGACCATGGAGAGGTCGGTGGTCTCATGGCTCGGATATATCGAAGGCAGGTGTATGGCTGAGCAAGATCAGTTCTCAGCTGAGCATGGTGATTGGGAACAGTTTGTGGAGAAACTGTTGTTGAAATGGTTACCGTTCGAGTTTATTGAGAAACTTGAGCGTCATGTGCAGAAGCAGGCTAGGCAAGGGCCCAAGGAGTCCGTCGAGGCGTACACCGCAAGATTCCAGGCGATGGTTACACACCTGCAGGCGTGCTACCTTGTGTCCAAGAGACCTAGTGTTGCGCTAGGTAGCTGGGAACGCGCCTTTGTCGATGGGATTCAAATGGACTATGCGCGTGCCATGCTACGGAAGGAATTGAGCATGCTATTTGCAATTAACAACTTCATGACGAAACTCGCGGTCACCTCATTGAACAAATTCTGTGCAAAATACCGTTCAAGACCAAACCTCGTGCAAGCCGCTGTCTCGACTTGTCCTTGTCCATGAAATAATACCATGCAACAAGCCATAAAATGATTTGCTAAAGCTGAAAACCTGTTGACAAAATCCGAAGTCTTTTCCTCTGACCCTTGTATCTCAACCTATCTGAAGACAACCAAACCAATTACACTAAAGAGGTATGAGGATAAGAACAATCTGAACATGATGAAATTCAATGATATAGCAGAATGGGACATATCCAAAGATCATGTAAAACTCCTATTGGATTCATTGAGTGAAGAGTACCGGGTGGGAAAGAAATGGTTTTTACCATTACAGAGCATCTTAGGGAGGACAAAGGACACGAGAGGCATAACTAAAGGAACCCTAGAGGGTATTTGTTTAGATTTATCAAAAACTTGAAACCTCTGAACTTTTAGGGGGTATTTGTTCAGATCTATCAAAACCCTCTGAACTTTAAGGGGATGATTGTCCGGCCGCTCAGGAAAGATGCGGAACATATGAGGGACTTTAAGGGGATGATTGTCCGGCCGCTCAGGAAAGATGCGGAACATATGAGGGGTATTTGTTCATATTCGGAGAGATGGACCTCTGAACTTTTAGGGGGTA